GGGTAGGTCCATGTGGCTTTTCCTTAGGGATGTCTCACAGGAAGTGAGCCTTGCAAGCTGAAGCAGGGGACTGGCTAAGGCAGCTGCAGCCTGGTCTGACCATCAGAGAGCAAGAGACCCGAGAACTAGAAAGGCAAGGCTCACTAAGCCATTTATCTCTCCGCCCTTCAATTAATCCCACACCCTATAGGGAAATTCTATCCTGTCCTAAAGGGTCATTATGAGTTGGAATCAACTCATGGCTATAAGTGATAATCATGTATTTGCTTAAATAAATAGCGTAAGTTTTCCTGTTTTGCTTTGCTTTTTTTTAATCCATAGATCTGAGAATCCCAATACTTTGTTCTCATGTCAGTTTTTTCTTATGATTCTGTCTCATGGTAAATGTAATGCTTTATTGGCTTATGAGCATCGGCTTTTAAAATTCAGAGAGTCTTCCTCCAGGACTTCCTCCCCACTCCATGCCCCAAGGTTCTTGAAGGCAGATGGAATAGGAAGAGATTTTGATAATAAGAATGGAGATCAAGCTCTTTCGAGGTGAGGGTTCAGTGTTCGTAATATCTAGTCTATTCAGGCCTGGCTCTCCCTCCTTTGGGGATTAGTCCTTTAGGTATCTCATCTGATACCTGACATGTGTACAAGGAGTTTAACGTATACTTTTGTGTCCTTAGCACTGTGAAATTGCCAGTAAATCTGCTTATTTTCTTATCATGTTAGTATCTGCCTTTTGCTTGTCTTCTCTGCCTCTTACTCTTCATGAATCATTGAACGACTGGATGAAAAATACGGCTCAGATCAGGTCACTTTTAACAGATCCTTTTTTTCAAGCCTCTTAGGCCTTCACATGTTGGCTGCCATGATAACCACACACACCATTTTATCCCCTCAGGCCAATACCTTCTGAGTCAACTGAAAGGTCTGCTTACCCCTATTATCCCTCAAAATCCTGGGGAGGCATGGTAATGGGCACCATTTTATGGCTGAGGAAATTGAGGCACGGAGAGTCACGTGACTTGTCAAAGTCCACAAGCAAGAGAGTGACAAAGTCAAAGCCACAGTCCACACTTACGGACTGTGTCTACCGTCTCAGGATCTGGCTGCCAATTTTTCACTATACTTATGCCTATAATAAAACGTTAGCTGACCCCAATTAAATCTAGATTTATAATGATGAGATAAATTCAATTTAAAAATAAGGCTTAATCTAAGACTATGTCCTGTTTTATGTTCAAATAAAAATATTCTGATTGGGATTCACTTTTAAAATTTTAACAGTTTTATTAACATATAATTCATGTATCAGATGATTCAATGGTTTAACCATATTTAGAAGAGTTGAGCGATCATCACCACAGTCCATTTTAGAACATTTTCTTCTTTATTGCATTCATTATTAGCTCCCCGTTCCCTCCCACCAACCCTCCATGTCATAACTCTAAGAAAGTATTAATCCCTAATAAACTGTCTCTATAGATTTACCTATCCTGGATTTCATATACTGAAAAATATACAAAAGCAAAATACAATGTCAATAATAAAATAAAACAGAGTAAAACCTCAGTTGAAAAGATAACAGAAAATAATAAAAACTAGGACAAATTTCATATGGGTCAAACTGGAGAGCATTTTAGCCTACATACATTGACATCAGTTCCCTTTCCAATGCCCTTTGTCTGACAGCAAAGCTGTGGGGTTTTGTGTGTGTGCTTTCTGACGGCAAGTAGTAGGTAAGTTTCGCTTGTTTGCCTATTTTTCTTTTTATTCTTACTAGACCAAAAATTGTTTAAATGGCAGTCTCTGTCTATTTCAAATATGCTTTTTGAGATTTTACTAGTGTTTGAAATTTTACAAAAGTGAGAATCATATTCATTACTTTTACCTGTAATCTGCCTTCCTTTTTAGCACCGGATCCCTCTGCTTCCTCCTTTCTATTATTCTGCAAGAATAAAAGCCTCTGAATTTCCAAACACAGGGCCTTCACATTGCTGCTCCATTACCTGAATGTGTTTTTCCCCAAGTTCTCCCCTTCCCATAACTCTCTCTTACCAATCAGGTCTCACTGTAAACATGCCCTGAATAAAGAGGGCTTCTCCGACCACCGTATGCATCCCATCCAAACTCACACACATAATGAGATGTATCATTTGGAAAAGTCATGTTCTAGATAGAGTCAAAGTGATTTTTTCAAGGTGATTTTAAAAAGCAATTAAATAATACATATGTCAGGATTTGGGTTGTACCATAATAGGATGAGGAGTTCCCAACCAACAAGATACACATTGAGTAATCCGGCCATTATTTCTTTAAGGTAAAACTATAGAACTGGGTATACCACTTTGTCTTTGTAAAATGAATCTCTGGATTCAATTCTACCACCATTTAATTAGGGTTCAACGGTTGTGTGTCAGAACACTCCCCATGCCTCTCTGGAGTGGACTAAGAATCTTCCTTCTCAAAGACTACACGCACAATCGCTCATTTGCTCTACACTCGCTGCAGGAAACTGGAGGATATGGTTGGTCAATGCCTAATTTATGATGAAACAGTGGTCTGAATGAAGTCCAAACTAGAGCCAGTAGAGGTTCTCACTGCAGCTCTGCTCCACGCATTTTGGCTATTCGAAAGAGTCTGTTCTTTGACTGGCCGGCTCTCAAGTCTGAAGAGGCTGTCGGCCATGGTCACTTGAAGGCTTCCTTTGCCCAGGCTCAGCACTTAGAGTTCTATCGATCTGAAGTTCTGTTCTACTCAGTAGCCATGACTAAAGAGCTGAGGTAAAACTCTAAACTGGACAATAAATAGACCTATAAAGAACTAACTCCAATGGTTTCAAAAACAATGTTAAGTGCTGGGTTACCGTAAACTTATGCTTTTTAAACACTGATTTTGCACGTTACCAAATGTTATTTAATAGAAATATATCTAGGATTTGAAAACCGAACTTACATTACCTTCTTAATTAATGCATTACTCAGAGGACATGATCAAGAAATTAACTCAAATTGCAACAACTCTGGACAGGACCCAGAAAACTTGACCTTTTATTTGAGTTTCAAAGAGTTGGGGCCATGCTAGGACTTCCCTTCCGCAAAACCCCAAGTGTCTACTGCCCTTGGCTCCTATGTTCCAGGTACCCATGTGGATGGGATATGTCCACCCCTTTGAAAATATTGCCCAAACCAAAGCCCATTGTCGACAAGTCGGTCCTGGCTCACAGCGACCCTAAAGGACAGGGCAGACCTGCCCCATTGGCTCTCTAAGGCTAAATATTTATTAGCGTACACAGCCTAATTTTATTCCTGAGATCAAGAGCAGTTGGTAGGTTTGAATTGCTGACCTTGAGGTTAGCAGCTCAGTGCTTAACCCGCTGTGCTACTAGGACTCCTTTTAACATTGAAAATGGTACTCCTAGATCTATCAAGTTGATTTTGACTAATAACTACTAGTATGATTTAAAGATAGTAACAACTTGACTAATACCTGGAAACAGCAGATTTTTCCAACACGCTCTCCTTTACACCCTTCCAAAGAATGGGCATACTTCTCATATGGCACCCAGAGGGGCAGGTAAAGCCTACACTGACCTCCCAGTCAAACATCTCCGCAGAGAATAGGATGCTCCTCCTCCACACGTCCGCGAGCAATCACTCCAATCGCCCCAGGCATCCCAATTGCCATCTTTCTCTTCATCAGACCGTGGGTTTCTTGAAGTCTAGGATGTGAAAAAAAAACGACAATAAATTGTAGGCACATTTGAAGAAAGATTCCAAAGCTTCCCTTTTTACCAGTCATATTCCTTTTTCCCACAGAGCAGCTGGTGGGTTTGAACAAATGACTTGGAAGGTAGCAGTTCAACCCTTACCTGACAGTACCACCAAGGCTCCATATATGCATGTGTGTGTGTGTATATATCATACATACCATTTCTTATATATGCTCATTATATATCAACATTAATTTCTCTAGATAATATATCATCTCATATATACATGTATGCACACACACACACACACACATACACATCCAATAAAGCAAAATCATTGTCATTGAATTGATTCTGACTCATATTGACCCTATATAGGGTTTCCAAGACTGTAAATCATTAGAGGATTAGACAGTCTCATATTTCTCCCAAGGAGCAATGCTTACCCAACAACACCACCAGATGTGTGGGTGTGTGAATAAATTAATGAGACAGGTTTACATTGAAACTTGTAAAACACAGTACCTTTCCACCTTTAAAGGGTTTGCCTAGGTGGCCTCTAAGCTTAGTTTTAAATCTGAAATTTTAACATTCCAAAATTTAGTTAAATTAATTGGCTAAATATCAAGAAGAATTTTCTTTCATTGAGTCTTCTGTTTTATAACTCACCCTGCTTTTAAAGCAGGGTCTCTATCTGAAGTTAAGAACCAATGAAATCCTCACATGTCTGAGGGTCACTAAGACTTGGGCATAAGTCCCCATTTTACATGAGGATTTTAGAAACCTTATGTTAAGGCTCCATCTCAAGAGAAATAAATCAGATGAACAAAGCTGGTCAAAAATATGAACAGGGGTGCAAGAAAATAGGGAGCAGCCGACTGTGAAAACAGTTTGGTTCAATTACTTCCTGGACTTGCCATTATTAATTTATGGCAGGATACAGCAGAGAAAAGAGAAGATAAGGTAAAAGTTAAAAGATATAGACATAAACATGAATATGAAGTGACGTAATAAGAAATAATATCTAATAATTTTTTTTTTAGAAGGGAGCCTAAAAGTAGACTTGAATAAATAGAAGAACATACCATAGTTGTGTTAGACAGGGTTATCTAGAGAAACAAAACCAGGTCACTTATGACTAGATTGATAGGTAGATAGATAGATAGATAGATACAACATAAGAAATAAACAGCCAATTAGTCTACAGAGCAGTACAGATGGCTCAGTGCAACTCACTTCCATGAGACAGTTAATACACTGGCAGTCCTGCAACTCCTGAGAGCTGCTGGGTGCAAGTCAAGGAAGCAGAAGGCTGAGTCTTCTGTAGAGCAATACAAGCAGTCCAGCTACAGGCAGCAAACAAAAGAGCAGGTCACCAACAGTCAGCAAGATGACAGGGTACGACAGTCCCCAGCTCAAGTGATGTAGACACCAGCAGTGTGGCGAAGCAGCTCTTGAAGGAACCTCAAACTATAACAACACAGTCCATGGGTTGGGTGTGCCACAGATAGTGTAGTTCACAAGTTAAGGCAGAGAACCAGCTAAGGCAGATGCACATTGGTCTTGTCATCAAAGAGCAACAGACAAGAAAGGTGAGGAGCCCTGAGCCATTTATCTCTTTGCCCTTCAATTAAAATTCAACTTTATTAATCCCACGTGTGTTTACTGGTCAGGTTGGCACAATAAACGTACCTATCACAATAGTCCTAAACATGTGACCTCACAACTATAAAATGCTCATTCTCTCCAAATCAATCTATAAATTTACAGCAAATCCTATCAAAAGCCCCAAAGGATTGCTACTTGGAATTGAACAAAATGATTCCATAATCCATCTCGTGGAGTAAATGTTAAGAAGAACAAGGAAATAAAACAAGTGTAAAAGAAAGGAAATAAGAGGGAAATTGCCTCAATTAAAAGAATACAAAATTGGCACGGGAATGAGAAAGTCTATTAATTTTTTTAAAAGGTC